AGGCGAACTTTAACATAAAAGAGAAACTTACTTTTTAGTTGATAAAAGCTTGTTTGATTTTTCAATTGGGTCCTCACGAAGTGAAACAGATTCCAGCACTATTTTATTTTACTACCTAGGAAATATTTTCATGTACCCCTTGCAATGCACTCCCTGACCACTAGGAGAATGTGTTCCCCCAGTTGGGAAACACTAGCCTGACGTAGTCCTACTCAATTCTAGTCAGAATATGAGTCTGATACTGCTCCATAGAGCTGTGATTATGGGGCGCGTTTCGAACGAACCAGGAAAAAAAATGCCTCTGCACTCAATTGGATAGACCTACAACCAATAAGAGCAACGGAGTGCGTGACGTATGTTAAGCGACCAAGGGAGCCAGCTGATAAATTTTACTTTTGCCGAATCCCGTAGAAAGGACGCCAAAAACATCCTTCTTTTCAACAAATGCTTTGATCGCGTTTCTCTGTTCCTCTTTTAAAATGAATTTGCTGTCGATATCTTCTAGAACAGACCTAATAGTAGAATCTACACACCTCAACTCTCCAGCGGCAGCCATTGTTGTTGTCACCCAAGTAACGTGGTTGATTACGTTACTGTTGATCATCTGTCCATCATCGTATAAAGTCCGCCCTGACAATTTGATTGGCCTGACCAGATATTGGGCGAGCATACTCGCGCTACTATGGAGCAATGCCAGACCGAACTTCCCGACCTCAAACGTTGTGGGCGGGACTAAGTTTGGAATGGCACCCAGGCTAGGGAAACACTGCTTTAAAGGATTGAATTCAGTTGGCTAAAAAAAAAAAATATTAATGCCACACTTTTTAGATTCTTATTTTTCTTTTTCTAAAAGAAAAAAAATGAAAACCATCTATGATTGTTCTTCCACTTAACATTTGTGTTCTCCTATACTGTGTTGGCCTGTCAACTACAGTTAATAGAAGATAGAAGTTTATTTTAAAAATATGGAAGAGATATATTGAGAGACACAGTTTCACATTATTGACCAGATGTAGTCCTTTACAGCTACCATGTTTGACTTAATCATATAAAGCTGTGGTGTGTTTATCCAAATCTGTCAGTAAATTATTCTCCCTCATGAATAGACGTCTGAAAATAAAAGCAGCACCTCATTAGATCTTCATACTCACTAAAACTGCTTAGTTAAGACCAGTTGTGCTCCTGAACCTTTGCTTAGTTTCCTAACCTACAGAGGTTTAACACTCCAACTATCTAATCAAAACCCAAAAGAGCTCTTTTTAACGAGCCCCTATTCTGGGACCAATAAATCCTTTGTATTAGGATCTCTGCCTTCCCACATTAGGTCAAATATTATAAGCAATTCTTTCTTCTGATTTGTCATGAAGCTTTTCATATTTGTTTCGTTCCTTTTTGTTTTGAGGCAGTTATTACATAACTCTTGAATGTCGTTAGTCTGCTTATTCCGATTTATTTTTACTTGCTTCTTTTTTTAAGTTTCTTTCTCCTATGTTTATCTTACCCTTGGTTTCCAGGGCTAAATCTTTTTGATTTGAATAACTCCCTCAGCATGCAGACAATAATTACTTTTCACCCATTCACTGTGCATCATTGCTAGATGCCTTTTACTCTACTTTAACCTGAGGTGGTGTACAGGATTAGCTTGCAAATCAACCTATGCCGACCAGTAAATGGGCTTTCGCAACAATAAACATTCAAATATGAAAAGCTGAACCCTTTTTTTTTCAGTGTGGTAGAAAGTATTTTTAAAGCATTGTGTTGTTATGCTTTGTGGTTTGACAATAGGGAGTTTCAGCTGAGCAGCTGAAACCATCACAGCTTATTATTGCAAATCTATCAGATATAAAACCAGTTAAAGAAAGTTGCAGAGGCATGTTCTTCTTGTTCAAGACTCCCCACAAAACCAAAATTATCATGTGTGAGAAATATCAAAAGAAGTGGAAACCAACACGCCCTCTGCTGCTGTTAGATGAGGGAGAAAAACAAGAAGCAACACATGTATCCAGATCTGTAATTGACTGAGCAGAGCTGAGTGCTGCAGAGTGGAGAGACTCTTCTGATCAAACCAGGGGCTAAATATAGGATCCTGCGGCACGATTTCTTGTGCTTGAGCAAGGATTCACCCATCCTCAAATAAGGAAAGGAAAGGAAAGGAAAGGAAAGGAAAGGAAAGGAAAGGAAAGGAAAGGAAAGGAAAGGAAAGGAAAGGAAAGGAAAGGAAAGGAAAGGAAAGGAAAGGAAAGGAAAGGAAAGGGAAGGAAAGGGAAGGAGACTTGGTCCCTTGGTGCACTCAGTGTGTGTTTGTAAGAGAGAACAAGGTGTAAGCTCATTCATTGTAGCTGTGCTTCCATTCACACCTTTGATCACACAAAGGAAGAGCAGCAGCAGCACAGCAGCGTCTGTAGATCAGCCTATAAAGACTGGCTGCTTTCTAATCTGTCAATCATATCACGCCGCTGCATGCAGCTGTCATGAAAGATATTCTCAGCAGGTCCGTGAGAATAAAGTCCCACAGAATTCATCGCATTTCATTCAGGCATTTAACAAAGAAAGGATTATGCATAGTAACCTCCCTTTGCAGCGTTGTTATTGATTTTGTGACGTGTGAATTTAAGCAGCTGAGTAGAAAGACGTGTTTAAATCTTTAAGGTTGCAAAAAATGCTGCTGGAGATCAGAAAAGAAATCAGCATTTAGGTGAAAGAATATACGTTTTTCTAGGTTGTTGTAAAATATGCAAAAACCCCTGAATCTTGGAGTGTTGCATTGGAGCTCTGACTTTATATTTTTTTATTGTCATTTTGTTGTCTCAAACTTAGCTCGATGAATCTCCATAAATTCTTACCGGCTTCCCTGTCTCTTATTAGGAAGAGAATCTTGTACAACATAGCATCACAGAATCTGCAGTGTTATTTTCTCCTACAACATTTAATTTGCAGGCCATAAAATTCCAATTTGATCTCCTCTGACCATTGCAACCTGAACTGCAAGCCAATACCAACTATTGTTTTCTTCTTCTTGCTAATCTTTACTCTTTATTTAATTTCTGATCTGTTGACAGCAAAAGTATTTCTTCTCTCAACAGATCGGATAGATGTGGATCTCTGCGTCTCTTCTGGATAAATGCTAAACATTTTAGTTTTGTGTGAGTAAGAAATTCATATTATATATTTTTTTTTTCTTTTAAAAACATTTGTATTTAGTGGCATTATATGTTAGTCTATCATTTACAGTAAATTTCTCAGAGTAAAATTCACCCAAATGGAAAAAACAAAAACAAAGTTTGAACATAAAAATTGGTCCCTCCCCAAAGAACTACAATTTTGTATTTAAAAGAGTTGTTTTTAAGGAGTCAAAGTTCCTCAATTCCCAAATATGGTAAGATAAATTAATATTAACTTACTTAAGGACCCTCAAAAGTCTACATCTTTAAAAACCTTATCAGCAAAGCATCGATGACTAACAATGTGGTGGATAACTCTAAATCAGAATATCACTGTTTCCCCTCAGAGTTGAATAAAATCAGCCCTTTTTCAAGGAAGATTATTTTAACTCTGTTGTTGACTTGGTTTTGATGGAGTTTAAATGCATGGCAGCTATGACAGAAATAAACCAGAGAGTGACTGATTGAGTTTAAGGCTTAGGATGGTCTCCCACTCCTAGGGCCATCACCAAATGTAACAGCTGCTGCTGACAAATAATACTATATCTCCAAAATCTAAAGGATAATGGATCTGTATTGTATCTGAATGTGTTTTCTGCCCCATTAATCTATACTATTGCATACATGTTGTCTTTAGCTCCTAGGTTATGTTCTAAAAATGATAAGAGATACACATATGATTTTTGGACGTTTTGAAGAAGACTTGAACTCCATGAGGCTGAGGCTCCCTCCAAGGTTGTGTGTTCTGTCCACTGCTTCACATCGTGCGAATCGTGCCCATCCACAAAGAGGGAGAATGTGAACATTGAATTGAGGGCTGGTTAGTACAGTATCAAGGCTCACTTTTTAGACTAATAGACCATTATACAGCAGGAGAGTTTGAATGCTAGAAGACTGGTTTGTACACATCAACAGCCTTGTGCCTAAAGTGAAGAAAATGAAAATGTAAAACGTGGTTAGCTGCAAGTTCCACCTTATGCTCATCTCTGATTACCTACCAAGGTCGAAAAAGAGAATTGGGTGGGATTAATTGAGCCGAAATGAGCCTAAATGGGACTAAATGTGCCTAGCATCCTGAGAGAATTACACTATGACTGTCTCTAATACTCTCTATCTATCTATCTATCTATCTATCTATCTATCTATCTATCTATCTATCTATCTATCTATCTATCTATCTATCTATCTATCTATCTATCTATCTATCTATCTATCTATCTATCTATCTATCTATCTATCTATCTATCTATCTATCTAACTGCAAACAGTGTATATATTAAAATATTTTTACAATTAGAAAGACAATCATCCTCTGAAATAAATAAAATAAATAAATAAAAATGTCCCTGATTGTATGTATGTATGTATGTATGTATGTATGTATGTATGTATGTATGTATGTATGTATGTATGTATGTATGTATGTATGTATGTATGTATGTATGTATGTATGTATGTATGTATGTATGTATGTATGTATGTATGTATGTATGTATGTATGTATGTATGTATGTATGTATGTATGTATGTATGTGTGTCTTAGTGGAAAAGCACTAATTTTAAAAGACATTCTTTTATACAGAATTTTATTATCATTTTGTTAGTAAAGCATTGTCCCTGCAAAAAGAGTTTTGATATTTGTGAGTGACACGTTATTTACATTTAGATGGGAAATTAAGAGGCTAAGAACATTGTGATCTTTTTTTCTTTGGTTCATAAAGGGCCTCACTTCAATAGCCTTAACATGTTTGTGTTTTTATTGTGGCTGAGAGCGACACCATGTGGTTCATTGGAGTTCTTTGTTATACTGTAAATCACCAGAAGGTGGCAGTGGGCTGTAACCTACGACAACTTTCGACATACTTCCTCTCTTGATTCTTCTTCTTTTCCTCTGCCCCTGCAAACTATCTTTCTCTTCCGGTTGTCGCCTGATCGTGTGGCAGGTATTAGTTTTTCCCGTTGTTTTTTGAGCTAATCAGAATCTTCATCCATCTGCGTCTGTCTTAAGCGCCACATAATAAATGTTCTAGTGTTTAGTTTTGTTTTTTGTTTATAATAGCTTAATGGCAGTATTGCCTGGGTTTTAGCCGTAATAAGAGCAAAATTATACATGAATAGCCCCAACATCAGTGCAGCTTATCGGCAGTCTTCCGGTAGCTCACTGTATCTCTCACAGCTGGGTCATATTGAATTACTTTATATTCTTCTTTTTTTCTTCGTCTAAACATATTTAGACCACTCTAGTATAACAGTCGTGTTGTTGGTTAACCATCTGACCCGGGCTAACTTGTTAGCATTAGTAATTAGCATCGTTTTTCTCGACCGGTGACAAACTGATTCAGGTTTTGCTTCATTCGTTTCACAGATAAACTAAAGTTGAAATGGCAAAGTCCAAGAACCACACAACTCACAACCAATGTAAGTTATTATACCCCCAGTTATTTGAAAGTCTACCATGTTCATTTTAAGGAGAAGTCCTCATCCTTTTCTGTTTTCACAGCTCGCAAATGGCACAGAAACGGCATCAAGAAGCCCAGATCTCAGCGCTATGAGTCTTTGAAGGGGGTATGTATTTAAAAATGCAGGCCTTTGTCTTTAGGTTGCAAGATTCTACCCTCAGATTTGTTTTTATGTTGTTGGAGGTTAATTATTTAACCATAATAATCTTTTGATAGCAAAAAGAGGCAGTGAAATTGAATTCAATTGCATGAATTCCTAAAAAAATTAAGTCAAGTCCAGTTTATTTTTTCAAATTGATTAAATAGTGGCCCTATTACATTTCACCCGATCACTGATGCCATACCTTCTCCTCTGAGATTACTGTATATTATCATTTGACTGTATTTAAAAGTTTGTATGCATCCCTTTAACAATTAGACAGCTCACATTAATCCACACGAGTGCATTACTGTCATTTAAATATAGCAGATTTGGCCACAACAGCTAATATTCAGGTATTGTCTCATGGCAGGTTGATGGTAAACAAATTGTGATCCTCATGGGCAACAGTTTTTCTTTTATATACTGTTTTGTATTATAAATTCTAGAAAAAATCTTTACTAAACTGCAACGCTTAGCTGTTCTAACCTCTTTTAATCCGGTAATACGTTTTGTGGTAGAAAAAGTGTACTATTAATTATCGACACTGAATATTTTGCCTTAAAAGCAAACGGCATCTCCATTTTTTTTATCTTCACATGAGGCTTTTTATTTAATTTTCGCAAAGAGAGATGAGCAGTTTCTTTGATGGAAATGTAATATTGTACTATATATCTTAAAATGGATTGTCTGTAAAACAAAGTTTAAGGCTAAACTTAATCAACAAGCTCTAACAAGACTTGTTTTTAACCTGCAGCAGGTGTAGGATGAAAGACGGTCTAATAGACAGTAATAAACCCTAATCTGCATAATTTTTCTGTCCATCCAAGATTTTTAAGAGAAACCAAATGTAAATCCTGACGTGTTTCTGGATGCTTGACAGTGAAAAACATGGTATTTTGACGTTAAATATATCCTCATTAGTGATAGTTGATAGTATCTCCCTGTTTCTTAATACTGTTGTAATGTTTAAAACAAGTTAAAATAATCTTTTAATTCCAGATAGCTTCCACATAAAATGGCGAAGGTTATCGTGGTTAGTAGTAGAAGTATATATTAAATGAGGGGTCCTTTGCGATTCTAAAGCACTTTAAAAATGGTCGCTTTGGATATGCGTGTGCTGTCACTAGGAATCCCATTCAACAGTAGCCTCTAGCCCGGTTGTCTCTTTGTGGTTTGCCGCGCCAGCTGGAAGGCAGTTTTCATGTACGTACTCCAAACTGCAGGCACCAGGATAATAAAGCGGACGTTTTTTGCCAGCAGATTTCAGCATTTTAAGTTAATTTAGGCATTAATAAACTGTTTAAGTGGAGGGATCATAGTGATCTGTATCATCTATATCTGTATCATGTGTCTGTCTCCCTGCCAGCTCCCAGATCAGCTTCTCTGATTGGTTTATGTGCGCAAAAGTAAAATTTTTCCAACTGCAGCTGCGTTTACAGCGTGTACCTCGTGTCTGATGCTAAAATGCTTGTGAAGCGCTGCACCTGCTGCCTCTTCCCGCTGGTGCCGTTTCCCCAGCGGGCTTCCTTTTCTGCCACCTCTACCCATTTTAGTGCCCTGATTACCTGAGGGGGGGATCCTCAGCTTTCCTGCTGTGGTTTCTATAGTTAAAGATGGTGACATGGCTGGCAGCCTGGTCACGGTTCTGTTTTTTTTCTCCGTCGGTTTCTCACACTGATTACCCGGTGCTCCTGCCAGAGTTCCACAATGCTGTCTCACCTAACCCTCTGTTGTCTAGGTGATTCGTCCCCCCAATGCAGGACAGCAGGGCCCCGAATGGGGTCACGGATAGGCAGAAGTGATGATAAACGCGACTACAGATGTAGTATTCCCCATACTGGTTCCATCTCTGGGAATCTGGTGAACCTAGTAAAAACATAGCCAGTTAAATTCGTGTTATGATGAGGTGAAATAAAAGATAAGCTGACTCCATGACGAAGAGGCTTTCGAGTTTGCGTTTCGTGCAAAATGCATCCCCTGGCCAGGGCGAAAATCGAGGCAAGCAAAGGCAGACAAAACTGGCTAAATTTTTGCAGGATTCGTGTTGACTGTTTGCGCACCTTTAGAAGTTGTTTGGTGCTAATTTGCATATTTGGTCACGCTTTGGTTTATCTGTACAAGAGGAAATTATTTGACAGTGACTTAAAAAACCTCTAAATGTTTTTAAGGGTAAGCTGTTTAAAATAATCTGCGCTGCAAAAACAATCTACAACAGAGTAACAAATTCTTAAAATAAGTGTATTTAGCCTTAATTTGAGTAGGTAAATAAGATGATCTGCCAATGGAGTGAATAGTTTCCCCTTAAATTAATATGATCAGATATTATGCACTTTAAATCATTAATTGCAGTTGTTTTTTTCTTTATGTAAATTATCTTATTCCATTGGCAATGTGTCCCACCTACCTGCTCAATTCAACAAAAGATGCACTTATTTTAAGAAAAGGTGATTTACTTAGATTTACAGTTTTAGCAGTATCAAGTACTCATTGATATTTTATCTGACTTCAAACTACAGAACATTAGTTCAACTTCTGAACTGTTGGCAGATGTTGATGTCTGTGAATTAAATGTTGGACTGTCATTGACTTTCCACGTATACTATATTTGTCCAGCTGGATGGACTTTCACTGTCCTTAATTACACTGTTTCCTAACCCTGTTCCTCTGGCCTTACAGTCCAGTTTATTTTTCTGCTTCTTTTGTGCTGCAAAAGCCTGTTAATAACTCATTCATTTAGCTTAGCTAAATTGCAACAGGGAAACAATACTAAATCTAATCTAAAATTCTGAACCAAATGCAGTTCTATTCTACATTATGAGGATACTTTTTCCAATGACCATGTAGCTCTTAGATCCTAATGAGTATATCAGATGTTGGATAGACCTAATTGGACTAAAGCTTGAAAAATCTTACATCAAGCTGAACAAGACTATATTTACTAAATTATTTGCTTTAAGGTTCTAAAGAGCTGCAGGTTGTTTTTCTTATAGGTGTAAGAAAGTCACTAAGTACCATTATGAATTAATCCATTTCAAACAGTTTCCGTTGTTCATTTCTGGTGGAGCTGGTATGGAAACATGAAATGTGTACAAATTTGCAGGCAAATTTTGACCAATTCTGAACTACATCAAAATTTCATGATTCTGTGCATATTTTGCAATAAAAGAATTTGTTCCTTTGTGTTAAATTAGTTTTTTTAAGGATGTACTATTTGGTGCAGCTGCTAACTCCTTTTAACCTTTCTGTTTTGCAGGTGGACCCCAAGTTCCTAAGGAACATGCGTTTTGCAAAGAAGCATAATAAGAAGGGTCTGAAGGCGGCGCGGAAAGCAGCTGCTCAGAAATGATCTGTTTGCTTCCCCTTTGTCATCTTTTCACAAACACCAACATAATAAAGCAATGCTTTGTTAACTAAGGGATTCCTTTCTGTTTTGTTCCATGTGTATTCTCTCTCTGTATATTAGCTGTTTGTTTTTTTTACATCAAAACAGAAACACTTTGGAGGTTAAAATGAAGAAAACTAATGTTCCTTTTTTTTCTCCACTCCAGTTCAATTCTAAATTTAATAATTTTGGTTATTTGCAGCATTAAAAACTGTCTATATCCTTTTCTTTTCTCAGAAGTAGTTGCAATCTTTCAAGTAAATTTTTTTTAACATTTTATAAAGAACCAATAGTTCCATAGTCTCCTAAACACACAACGCAACTTGGTTGAACTTTTCAAAGTATTCTAAAAGTCACATTTTGTAGTCGCTCATGAAAAGTTTGAATTGTGTCCAGATTTTGTGTAGGTTATTGAAAGTTTGATGCAATTCCAGTTTTTATCCTTGGATCTCCATTTGAAATGTCTTCATTTAATCAAATCTGAATTTAGAGTTTAGTCTTAATACATAAACATACAGTATTGGTAAATTTCCATCCAATAGTAGTTCGTATTGCTTAGCAACAGCAAGTTCACAACAGTCATTAGTGATGGAGCTAAAACTGACGTCTGAATAACTTAGATAAGGGGTGCCAAACCCATTTTCTAAGGTCACTTGTCCATCATAGTAAAAGAGCTTCAGCTGTATGAATTAAACTTGGATTTAATTTACAGTTCTGGTTGTAAAAACAAAAACTGCTCCCATTTACATTGTAGTTTTAGTCTCTACACTTTAAAGAGCCTTTTCAGACTCCAGATGCTTTGTCTTTGACATGATTAAGAGAGAACACTAGGAGAGAAGGCATTCAAATCATTGAAGCCTTTAAAGAGCATGTACCTTAAATTAATTATTTGCATAGGGTTGAATGAAAATGTTTTTCTCCAGCACCATCGTTGCTCTACGCAGAATGCAGCTGTGAAATGGCTTAACTGGAAACCAGCAGGGAATGTCCCTTAGTATTCAGGGACATTTGATGATGGTTCTTGACATGAATTAAAGGTTTTACAGTCAATTTAGTTTGATATGCATTTGATCTCAACACACTTTTAAGAGAACATTAAAATCATGCAGACAGATTAAACATTTTTCTGTTTAAAATAAATCCAGCTTATGGAATCCTGTCACTGACTTAACAGGAATAGTGCCTGCTAGTGACAAGAGTTTGCACTATATCAGCAGACAGAAGGAAACAAAAGGAATATAGAGATGCTGATCTTTAAATACTTTGTGTTAGATAAGGTAATGGTAAACTAGCTTTATAGGTGACTGTCTAGGAATGAAAAAAATTTAGATCTGCATCAGTTTTCATATGAAAAAGGGAAAAGAAAGCATTAATTACAGTAAAAGACTATCCAATGAATATTTCTAGGAGAGAAACAGGAATTAAACCTGAAAAACACTTTAGATTATAGAGTGAAAATGGCTAAAACAATCTGCTTTAAAAATGTTCTTCATGCCAGGAGGGAGATGCCCCTCAAGTGGTTCCAAGTTCTGCTCTTAGGTTTCCATTTCGTGATGAGTACCTAGAAATACCTCCAGAGAGAGCTGCCTGGAAGATATGCTGACCAACCTTTACTAAAACCTTTTAATGTGTAGAGACTGACACGCCTCTTAAAGCCTACTTATTCCACTTAATTATGAAAAGAAATATAAAGTGGAATACAGACCTTCTCATCTGTAAAAAAAATAACCAAGCTACCAAATGCATAAAGGTCATTTCAGCAGCATGTAATGTGTTGCCCATGTTTTTTTTTTTTTTTTTTTTTTGTAACAAAAGGTTAAAAATATTGAAGTTTCTGTGCTATAGATAGCATTTTCTGCTGTCGATCTCAAGGGCATGTATTAAATCGAATGACAAAACTAAAGTAGAAAATATGCAACATAAATCTTTTCAAGAATATTGAATTGTGATCATTTGTTCTGCAACAGTTTATAGGAGTATGTTATGGAGGACCCGAACAGGAGAGTTACTGAGAAAGAAAAACATCCACTTCAAATGTAACATCAAATCAATTCACTTGATTTATATAGTGCCAAATTCACAACACATGTTATCTCAAGGCACTTTACAATTCAACCAGATCATACAATCAAATTCATACAAAGTTTTTTATCTAAGGAAAACCAGTTGATTGCATTGACTCAAATACAATCCCTCACACTAAGCATGCTTGTAGCGACAGTGGAGAGGAAAAACTCCCTTTTAACAGGAAGAAACCTCCAGCAGAACCAGGCTCAGTGTGAGCGCCCATCTGCCGAGGCCGACTGGGGTTCAAGGAGACAGAAGCAGAGACACAAAAAGCAGCTGTAAAATCATACTATTATAAATTGTGTAGCAGATTTTAAATTAAATAATCAAAGAGGAATTTTAAACTGTGTTCATCAATTATTAAATACTGCAATTAGAAAATGTATTCATGAATACTAACTCTAAGTTTTTTCAACCAAATGTGGCAGCCTAACCACTGAGAGAGCTGGATACATCTGAGGAGCAACTCTGATTGGTTTAAATGGTTTTCATGGTCAAAGAAAAGGTAAATCGAGAGGGTAAAGTAAAAAGAAAATGCAACTTCAGAAATTATATAAAAAATGCAAAGTGAAAAAGAAAATTGAAATGGAAAAAGCAATTAGCTTTTTAAATGTGTGTTTAGGAACTATATTATCGGATTTATGAATTGTGGTTTTGAAATCTCCATTTAGAATTAGGATTTGAAAATATATTTCCAATTCACAGTTCTTAAGATTAAAAAATACAATTTACATGTATATCGTCATTGACTTTTAATTAATTCCTCATACTGGCCATCTATGTAGTGACAGTGATGAACTTCCCTTTGAGTCTCCCTTTTGACAGAAAACAAACCAGAATAGCCAAACTAAATGTGAAAGGCCATATGCAGCCTCCAACACACAAGAGAGAACTGTTGTAGGAATACTTTCTATGTTAAAGTATGTAAAGGCAGACTAGCTTCATAGGTAATTTTATCCAGAAAAGAAACAATTAAGCAGATTAGCTCTGAGCCAGCCATCAGGTCAAAAGGGTGAAAACAATGTTATTTTTATATTTGATTTGAAATAAAGTAGGTAGGTAGTCTCAGCTTTGAAAATCTGAAACTGAGACTTAATGACTGAAGCATAATTTTTCTTATATGGATTATTGTCCGTTTTTATTCTATGTCACACTACATTAACCTTTCCTAAAACACAAGAAGTTACATCTTAGTTGTTTTTGTGTTTTTTCAATAAATGGGATCGTTTATTTCACTCAATTTGAGGGTCTTACAAATAGGGTTAGACGTTTTATTTTGAAACAGCCAACCAGACCGTCTGTCGTCACTTCCGTCCGAGCTGACTCTAGCTTGCATCATTTCTCGTGTCTCGGCAGCCGGTTGCAGTACATGTGAGTGTGTGCTTTCGAACTAAAATAACTTTTTATGTAATTTTTTTTATTGTTCCGCCATTTCTGTAAAATATAGGGATTTAAAAGCAACATTTAACAAACTTTACGGATACTTTAAATGCAAACTGACCAACTGAGTTTCTACCTGCTAGCTTAGCCTGCTAGCTTAAAACAAGGATGTGCCAATCCTGTGAGCTGTATAATCCAGAAAGTGGTTTATTAAATTGGTATAAATAAGGACATTATTGGACTAAATACTTAGAAATGCTTAACCACAAAATGCAAATATAAAGAGTTTGGATTAAATGCTCTTTTTAGCATGAAATGTCAGAACTGAAAGAATTAGTGGCTGATGTAAAACAAACACCTGCTTACTCGTCATTAGTTGTCAAGAGAAGGACTTGAACCTGACATGGCTCTATTGACTGATGTCAATATGTAAATAACAATACTCTCACATTGGCTTTGTCTTCACATACTTATTAGCGCTGTTTCTTTAAATGTGTGGACAGACGCCATGGTGCAGCCAGTACCTGAATCCATCAACTTTCCTTCTGAGGAGGAGAAGATCCTGCAACTTTGGCAAGAAAGGGACTGTTTCCAGGAATGCCTCAAGCAGTCCAAGAACAGACCCAGGTAAGTGTTTGTTTGCTTGTTAGTGATCAAAATTATGTTTCTCTGCTTGTCATATTATGTTTGTTCTTTTGGGTTTATATAAATCAGAAAAGAACCAAAGCAGACAGATTTAGGCTTTAGAGTAAACGAAATATTATGGCCTTGAATTTTTTTTTTTTTTAACATTTGTAAATGTTGAACAGACTTTTACAATTGAAAGCTTTTTGTGCATTTGACAGTAAGAAAACAAGCTAAACATTGAAATTGTTCATAGGTCTCTAATCATGTTTGACTGAAGGAAATCTAAAACTTAACCTTGTCATTTGTGGTTCCACTCACTGCTATAGTATTTTTTTCTTCAAGGATAAAAAAAATAATAATGAGGTTGCTTGATGACAGTTTATTGAAGGTTTTTGGAAGAATTTTGTGGCTGATTTTTTTATTTATTTATTTATTTTTGGGGTAGATTTCGTAAAGGTTAATTCGATTATGAACTTTGTTTTGGCTTTTTGAGTCTGTCATTTTGTTATTACAGAATTTCTTTTTTTGTTCCTTTTGATTATCATAGATGTAGATAAAATCAAAAAACAAATAATTTGATCATAACATCTATTCATTTTTTTTTATTCAAATCCATTATTGAATAAAAATTCCACAAAATGTGGAAACTTCAAACAAAACAAAAACATTTTGTTTTGTTTGAAGTTTGAACTGCCAATAACCATTTACGATTTATTTGTCCTGGAGCTCAGCTTTATCCATAATATTACTAATAGAAATGGTAATTTTTTCCCCATCACCTGACCAGGTACACCTTTTATGATGGCCCTCCTTTCGCCACCGGTCTGCCGCACTACGGTCACATCCTAGCCGGTACCATCAAGGACATTGTTACTCGCTTTGCCCATCAGAGTGGCTTCCATGTGGACCGGCGCTTTGGCTGGGATTGCCATGGCCTGCCTGTGGTGAGATATTATTC